AGGAAGAAACCATGAAAATGAACAAAATCTGGCTACCAGCACTAAAAAAAAAAACCTCTAAAATTATAACAGTAAATAAAGAACAAATCTCAAACACAGGGGAACTCCAGACAAGAAACAACCAGGAATAGCTGATCACCTCTCAACAAAGAATTCCCCCAGGCAGTAACAAGGCACACCTAAAAACTATCAGGCCATCACATGCTAATCAAGGTGGTCAACTGAAACATTCACACCTAGCTCCAACAGATGGGAGTTCTTTCCCCCACCCTGGACTTTCCACAGATATATAAACCCAATTTTCCTAGTTTCCAACAGACCTCACAAACTCTGAAGATGCCTGCCATAGATGTGGGTGAAACATCAGTAGAGAATGCTTCTAGAACATGGCCTTACAGCCCAAAAAACCTACAACAACCAATTTGCACTACTCCTAACAACCTGGAGGCCAAAGTTTTGGAAAATGGCATTCGTAACCTTTAGAGTACAATCTTCTCTTGTGGTATACAACCAGATGTAATAATTATGCATCGTTGGTGGGGTTCAGAATGCTCTTTGATTGTAGGTTAACTATAAATCACAGCAACTACAACTCCCAAATATCAAACTCTATTTTCTTTAAACTCCACCAGTGTTCACATTTGGGCATATTAAGTATTCCTGCCAAGTTTGATCCAGATCCATCATTGTTTGAGTCCGCAGTGCTCTCTGGATGTAGGTGAACTGCAACTCCCAAACTCAAGGTCAATGTCCACCAAACCCTTCCAGTATTTTCTGTTGGCCATGGGAGATATGTGTGCCAAGTTTTGTTCAATTCCATCATTGGCGGAGTTCAGAATCTCTTTGATTGTTTGTTGTTGCTCATTCGTTCAGTCGGTTCTGACTCTTTGTGACTTCATGGACCAGTCCACACCAGAGCTCCCTGTCGGTCGTCACCACCCACAGCTACTTCAAGGTTCTTTGATTGTAGGTGAACTACAAATCCCAGCAACTACCACTCCCAAATGACAAAATCAACCCCCACCCCTACCAGTATTCAAATTTGGGAGTATCGGGTATTTGTGCCAAATTTGCTCCAGTGAATGAAAATACATCCTGCATATCAGATATTTACATTGCGATTCATAGCAGTAGCAAAATTACAGTTATGAAGTAGCAATGGAAATAATGTTATTGTTTGGGGTCATCACAACATGAGGCACTGTAATAAGGGCTCATGGCATTAGGAAGGTTGAATAACACTGTTTTAGGAGGTCTTTATGTTCCTGCCAAAATGCTTGACACCACTTGAATTGCCATGGGTAAATGCTATGGAATCATGGGAGTTGTGGCTTTAGAAGGTCTTTAGGTCCCTGCCAAAGAGCTTGACACTCCTTGGATTGCCATGGGTCGATGCTATGGAATCATGGGAGTCATCGCTTTAGGAGGTCTTTAAGTTCCTGCCAAAATACTTGAAACCCCTCGAATTGCCATTGGTCAATGCTATATAATCATGGGAGTTGTAACTTTAGGAGGTCTCAGCAAAAGAGCTTGATGTCCCTAGAACTACTATAGATGAATGCTATAGAGTAATGGGAGTTGTAGCTTTAGGGGGTCTTTAGGTCCCTGTCAAAATGCTTGACACCCCTTGAATTGCCATGGATCAGTACTATGGGATCATGGGAGTTGTAGCTTTAGGAGATCCCAGACAAAGAGCTTGATACCCCTTGATTTGCCATGGGTGAATTCTATGGAATCATGAGAGTTGTAGATTTAGGAGGTCTTTAGGTCCTTGCGAAAGAGCTTGACATCCCTATAATCATCGTAGGTCATTGTTATGAAATAATGGGAGTTGTAGTCTTAGGTCTTTAGGTCCCTGTCAAAGAGCTTGACATCCCTTGAATTGCCATGGGTGAATTCTATGGAATCATGGGAGTTGTAGTCTTAGGAAGTCTTTAGGTCCCTGTCAAAGAGCTTGACACCCCTTGTATTGCCATGGGTCAGTAATACGGAATTGTGGGAGTTGTAGTGTTCGGAGGTCTCTGCCAAAGTGCTTGACACCCCTGGAACTGCCATGGGTGAATGTTATAGAATAATGGGAGTTGTAGTCTTAGGAAGTCTTTAGGTCCCTGCCAAAATGCTTGACACCCCTTGCATTGCCATGGGTCAGTGCTATGGACTCATGGGAGTTGTAGCTTTAGAAGGTCTTAGGGTCCCTGCCAAAGAGCTTGACACCCCTTGAACTGTCATGGATTAATGCTATGGAGTAATGGGAGTTGTGGCTTCAGGTGGTCTCTGCCAAAGAGCTTGACACCCCTTGAACTGCCATGGGTGAGTGCTTTGGAATCATGGGAGTTGTAGCTTTAGGAGGTCTTTAGATTCCTGCCAAAGAGCTGTACTTTGGTGCTTCACCAACGTGCAGCAGCTCCCAGGATTCCATAGCCTGGAGCCAGGGCAGTGTGTGTCCAGGAGCCTCCATTCTAGAGTGGAACCCTTAGAAGGCTGGAGATAAAGGACCTTCCAAAGGGCAGGGAGCCATAACGGTCGCCACTGCCGGATCCTAGCCAGGCTGGCAAAGGAGAGCGCGCATTGGAACCCAAAGCAGCCTCCTGGGCTCCCTCCACGTGTCAGGGCGGAGCCAGAGAGCGGGAGGAAGCAGAGCAGAGACCCCAGAAGCATTAGTAGGAGGCAGAGAAGCAAGCAGGCAGGCAGTCGGGCAGGCGAGGCTGTTGGCAGGCGGTGGCTGTGGAAGAGCCACTTCTCCTCCTGCTCCTCCTCTTCGCAGCCCGGCTCGGAGGGATGGGGCCCCTCAAGGAAGGCAACAAGGTGAGCAAGGAAAGGGGGAAAGGGTGGCCTCTCAGGTGGCACCTGGAGATGGGAAAGGGGGCATCCCAGAGGCGTGGAGGGGTGTCTGCCGGTGCCTTCGCCATCCAAGGGCGCCTCAAATGGCCCAGGTGTGTGAGAGGTGGGGAAAATTGGGGGGGGGGGGTAGTCCTACCCGATAGGGAACTGGAAGAGATCTTTTCCTTCCCTCCTTTTCTTGGCAGCCCAGAGATATTAGGTAGGCAAAGATCTGTCCAAGCCCCACCCTCAAAATGCGCACCAAGCATTTCATCTCCTGCATCACTGCAAATTTGGAATATATCCATTCCAGTGTATTGGGGAGAAGAGGGGCTTGGTGGGGTTGGGTGAGGTGTGATTTGGGAAGGAAGGGGGGATGAGAAAGGAGGGTGCATGGACCTTGATGTATATATGATATGTGTTTATGTGTGTTGGGTGTGAATATGTGTCTGTGCACACATATTCACACATACACACACACCCAGCAAAGGCTGGCTTGCTGAGGTCTTCCCTTTGCCTCTCATCCTTCCTGCATCCCTTAAGGAGTCTTGACATCATCCCTGCTGCTCTGCCCCTACTGCAGTTGTACACACACAGCAGTGTGTGTTTGCAAAGGGAGAGACCAAGCTATAGGTTCTGCCAAAGAGCTGCACGTTGGAGCCAGGGCAGTGTGTATCCAGTTGCATCCATGGGTCAATGCTATGCAATCATGGGAGTTGTAGCTTTAGGAGGTCCCAGCAAAAGAGCTTGACACCCCTTGAACTGCTATAGATGAATGCTATAAAGTAATGGGAGTTGTAGGTTTAGGAGGTCTTTAGGTCCTTGCCAAAGTGCTTGACACCCCTTTAATTGCCATGGATCAGTACTATGGGATCACGGGAGTTGTAGCTTTAGGAGGTCCCAGTCAAAGAGCTTGACAACCCTTGAATTGCCATGGGTGAATTCTATGTTATTACGAGAGTTGTAGATTTAGGAGGTCTTTAGGTCCTTGCCAAAGAGATTGGCAACCCTGTAATTATCATGGACTAGTGTTATGGAATCATGGGAGTTGTAGTCTTAGGAGGTCTTTAGGTCCCTGTCAAAGAGCATGACACCTTTTGAATTGCCATGGGTCAATGCTATGGAATCATGGGAGTTGTGGTTTTAGGAGGTCATTAGGTCCCTGCCAAAGAGCTTGACGCCCCTTGAATTGTCATGGATCAGTGCTATGGAATCATGGGAATTGTAGTCTTAGGAGGTCTTTAGGTCCCTGTCAAAGAACATGACACCCCTTGAATTGCCATGGGTGAATTCTATGGAATCATGGGAATTGTAGCTTTAGGAGCTTCCAGCCAAAGAGCTTGACACCTCTTGAACTGCCATGGATGAATGCTATGGAGTAATGGAAGTTGTAGCTTTCGGAGGTCTTTAGGTCCCGTCAAAATGCTTGACACTCTTTGAATTGCCATGGGTGAATGTTATAAAATAATGGGAGTTGTAGCTTTAGGAGGTCTTTAGATCCCTGCCAAAGAGCTTGACACTGCTTGAACTGTCATGGATTAATACTATGGAGTGATGGGTGTTGTAGCTTTAGGAGGTCTTTAGGTCCCTGCCAAAGAGCTTGACACCCCTTGAACTGCCATGGATGAAAGATATGGAGTAATGGGAGTTGTAGCTTTAGGAGGTCTTTAGGTACCTGTCAAGATGCCTGACACCCATGGGTCAGTACTATGGGATCATGGGAGTTTTAACTTTAGGAGGTCCCTGGCAAAAAGCTTTACACCCCTTGAACTGTCATGGATAAATGCTATAGAGTAATGGGAGTTGTAGCTTTAGGTGGTCTCTGCCAAAGAGCTTGACTCCCCTTAAACTGCCATGGGTGAGTGCTTTGGAATCATGGAAGTTGTAGCTTTAAGAGGTCTTTAGGTTCCTGCCAAAGAGCTGTAAGTTGGTGCTTCACCAACGTGCAGCAGCTCCCAGGATTCCCTAGCCTGGAGCCAGGGCATTGTGTGTCCAGTAGCCTCCATTCTAGAGTGGAACCCTTAGAAGGCTGGAGATAAAGGACCTTCCAAAGGGCAGGGAGCCATAACGGTCGCCACTGCCGGATCCTAGCCAGGCTGGCAAAGGAGAGCGCGCATTGGAACCCAAAGCAGCCTCCTGGGCTCCCTCCACGTGTCAGGGCGGAGCCAGAGAGCGGGAGGAGGCCGAGACGAGACCCCAGAAGCGTTGGTAGGAGGCAGAGAGGCACGCAGGCAGGCAGTCGGGCAGGCGAGGCTGTTGGCAGGCGGTGGCTGCGGAAGAGCCACTTCTCCTCCTGCTGCTCTTCCTCGCAGCCCGGCTCGGAGGGATGGGGCCCCTCAAGGAAAGCTGCAAGGTGAGCAAGGAGAGGGGTAGGGGTGGGCTGTCAGGGAGATGGGAAAGGGGGCATCCCAGAGGCGTGGAGGGGTGTCTGCCGGTGCCTTCTCCATGCAAGGGCGCCTCAAATGGCCCAGGCGTGTGAGAGTTGGGGGACATGAGCGGGGTAGTCCTACCCAGTAGGGTTTGAGTCAGGAAAATAGGGAGATGGAAGAGATCTTTTCCTTCCCTCCTTTTCTTGGCATCCCAGAGAAATTGGGGAGGCAAAGATCAGTCCAAGCCCCACCCTCAAAATGCGCACCAAGCATTTCATCTCCTGACATCCCTGCAAATTTGGAATATATCCATTCCAATGTATTGGGGAGAAGAAGGGCTTGGTGGGGTTGGGTGGGGTGTGATTTGGGAAGGAAGGGGGGCTGAGAAAGGAGGGTGCGTGGACCTTGATGTATATATGATATGTGTTTATTTGTGTTTGTTGTGAATATGTGTCTGTGCACACCTATTCACACATACACACACACACCCAGGAAAGGCTGGCTTGCTGAGGTCTTCTTTCCCTCTGCCTCTCATCCTTCCTGCATCCCTTAAGGAGTCTGACATCATCCCTGCTGCTCTGCCCCTACTGCAGTTGTACACACACCAGTGTGTGTTTGCAAAGGGGGAGACCAAGCTCCGAAATGACGTCACCCCCAAACTGGGGAGGTTCCCCAGTTTCTCCCTTTGGCTCGACTGTCCCCCTTCCCTGCCCTTGCTTTACATGGTCCCTGAAGTGGTGGATGTGGCAGGGATGATGCAGATGCTGGTAATTGCCCAGAAGAGCCTTGGCAGCTGCTCCCATCCAAGCGCTGCAAATGCAGCATTGCTATTCAGCACACAGGTTCCGTCATCATGTGGAAAGCCTTAATTTTTAATGTGTTGATGTCTACTCCTTGTCTCTCTCTCCCTCCCATGCCCTGAAAAGCCAGCCCTAAATGGATTTCACCCTGCTCCCCCCCCCCCCCCGCCTCCAAAGACTAACTTATCTATACTTTATCTTATAATATTGGGATATTTGTTGCTGATGGTTTCGAATTGTGGGCAGTGGTGTGGGGAAAGGGACTGAAACTCGACGAGACTTTATTAATTATTTTATGTTTCTAAATTTTGTTTACTTTGGTTAGTTACTATAAGTTATATTGATGTTGTTGTATTATTGGTTTGATTTGATGTGTGTATTTTCAGTAATGGCATTGAATGTTTTCCACTTTTTTTGTATGAAAACCACCCTGAGTGCCCTTGGAGAGATAGGGTAGGGTATAGTATTAAATAAAGTATTATTATTATTATAAAATATTTTTTTAAATGTAATACAAATGTCTGGTTGCTCCTGACACGATAAATAAATATTATAAAATATTATTATTATTACTATGAATATTCTTATTATATATGGAGAGATAGGGTGGGTTATAAAAAGTATTATTATTATGCAATAATATTATTAGTATGAATTGAATAGTATATATTATATATTTATATAATGTTATAAATTTATTATTATTATTATGAAACATGTTAGTAGACCCAGGGCAAAATATTTCTGTACCTGAGACCCTCCAAGGGCATCCACTCCATTTCTGTTTTTGAAAAATAGATACTTTAAATGCTAAATGGAGCATCCTCTCCCCTGCAACCAGGCATGTAGCCAGGGGGGGGGGGGGCTTGAGGGGCTTCAGCCCCCCCGAAATTCTCATGGTGGTCCGTGAGAAGGCCTTACTGGTACATTAGAAGGCCTTACTGGTACATTATTCAACTGTTATGTTTATTCATATCATGATCTGATCACCATGCTCATTATATTCCATATGCATGGGGGTATTGGGGTAACGATACAAAAGGTTTGCTAGGGTAAACCTTCTTTCTCTCAGACTCAGCCCCCCCCCCGAATCAAACTCAGCCCCTCCCGAAACAAAATCCTGGCTATAGACCTGCCTGCAACCTATTTAAAATTGTGTGTTTTTCTCAACTCAAAAAAGATAGTCTGAAGGGAGTCGACAGGATATTATGCAGCCCTAGGGTTTGTGTTTGTCCATTACTGCAGTATTGGAACACACCCACAGATCATTGGAGGAGTCCCAAGAGCCATTTCATATGTGTGTTGTTGTTGTTGTTGTTGTTGTTGTTTTTTTTATTTATTTATGGACACCCAAAATACAGAACAAGGTTTTTTTGCCAAGATTTTTCAGAAGGGGCTTTTGCTTTTGTATTCCTCGGAAATTGAGAGAGTGTAACCTGCCCAAGGCTTCCATGTCTGAATTGGAATTCAAACCTTGGTCTCCTGAGTTCTTGTCCAGTGCTCAAGCCTACACTACACTGACTCACGTGTCTTTTCATAGTAAATTTGTCACATAACATGCTTTCACTCAGGAGAGAGCATCCGCTCAGCAGTTTTCTGAAAAGTGAATCTGTGCATTAGATATGCTTGCAAGTCATATCTGTTGCATTCATACTTCACACTTGTAGGGACAGAGTGACCCAAAGCAGCAGAAGTATCCAAGTATTAAATGAGTGGCATGGCGACTGCTAAATATTTCTGTGAGCAGGCCTCCATGCCAATGATGGCATGTTAGTGAACAGTTTGGCATACCAATAGCACTATGTGGAGCTTAGAAACATTATCTTTTGCAAATGATGACTCTCAGAACTTGCTCCTCTCCAGCATGACCAGATCTTTGGGGGGAGTCTGGGAGATGTAGCTCAATGAAGTAACATTTTCAGGCTCCTGTGCTGCACTGATATAGGAAAATATCTCATGCCGAGCCAGACAGATCCATTAATTTGGCTCAATACTATCTGGTCTGGAGTCTTTTCCAGCATTACCAGGAATACCAAGAGATCAATCCTAGAACTTTCTACATATAACTACTCTTGAAGCATCTCTTTTTCTACTTCTTTCCACTGCTGGAGCATGAGTGGGATTTAATTCATCGCAATCAAGCCACATGGTTCAGTGTTTACAACTGGGATATTAGTCATGTGCAAATCCTCTCAATGCAAGAAAAAAAGCACTTTTCAGTGCCAAATACTCTGCTGTCATCACAATTCAATTCAGGCATTTGGTGGGACTGAGAGATAGGAAAGTATAACATATCTTATTGCCATTGCCAGGAGCAAAGAATGCAGGAGAAGGAGATTTGCCGCAGCCGCATCCCTCGCCTGATCCTCAGGCCTCCTCTCTCCCAGCAGCAGCCCCATTACCAGAAGGTGTCTCCAACATCTGAATCCCCCTTTTCAGAGGAGGAGAGCAGAGAATTCAATCCCCTCAGTTCTTCTGGAGGATCTGCAAGAACAATCAGCAGCACCAGTTTCTGTTCAGGTACATGCATTAAAGGGAAGCTGGCTTCTCTAGCCTGATTTCATTTGTTTGTTTTTAAAATATAATAAATTATAGAGTTGGAGTAGGAGTAGTTGGTCATCTCTCTATTGACTGTAAAATATGCAGCACAATGATGATTAGAAGAAACATTTTGGAAAGAATCCCTGTTTGGCCTACAATCACTTGCCTACAGAGTTGTTTGGTGTTGTCTCTAAAGGTCTTCAAAAAGATGCTGGACATCTGCCTGCTCTGGATACTTTACCTCAGCATTTCTCAATCTGGGGTTTGGGACCCCTGGGGGGGGGTTGTGAGGGGGTGTCAGAGGGGTCACCAAAGACCATCAGAAAACACAGTATTTTCTATTGGTCATGGGGGTTTTCTGTGGGAAGTTTGGCCCAATTCTATCACTGGTGAGGTTCAGAATTCTCTTTGATTGTAAGTGAACTATAAATGTCAAGATCTATTTTTTCCAAAGTCCACCAGTTTTTGCATTTGGGAATATTGAGTATTCATGCCAAGTTTGGTCCAGATCCATCATTATTTGAGTCCACAGTACTCTATGGATGTAGGTGAACTACAATTCCAAAACTCAAGGTCAATGCCCACCAAATCCTTCCAGTATTTTCTGTTGGTCATGGGAGTTCTGTGTGCCAAGTTTGGTTCAATTCCATCATTGATGGAGTTCAAAATGCTCTTTGAATGCAGGCGAACTATAAATCCCAGCAACTACCACTCCCCCCCCCCCCCCCCCCCCCCCCCCCCAACTCTACCAGTATTCAAATTTGGGTGTATCAGGTATTTGTGCCAAATTTGGTCCAGTGAATCAGATATTTGCATTACGATTCATAACAGTAACAAAATTACAGTTACGAAGTAGCAACAAAAATAATGTTATGGTTGGGGGTCACCACAACATGAGGAACTCTATTAAAGGGGTGTGGCATTAAGAAGGTTGAGAAACACTACTTTAGCTGGAGATCCTGCATTAAGTAAGAAGTTGAACTAGATGGCACATTAGGTCCCTTCCAACACTATGATTCTATGGTTATAATTACAACATTCCTCCTATAGCAGGAAAATGAAAAACGTTCAACCCTAGGCTACCTTAACAAAACTATGTGTTGCCTTTAAGAAAGTAAAGGACTACTCTACTGTACTTTGATGAGACATCATCTGGAATATTGTTTCTAGTTTTAGAAGGGCATTGACTAGATGGAATACACCCAAAAAAGCAACAAAGATAATAAAACCAGGGTTTGTGAACCAAAGCCTTTTGAGGCATGGTTGAGTGAATTTAAACTGGACAGGAGAACATTGAGAGGTCAAATATTTGAAATTTCATCAAATGTAGAAGGATGGGTTAGCATGTTTTCTCCTGGTACAGAAAAACAAGTGAAGTCCAGGTATAAGAAAGGAGATTTCAATTGAACATTGGAGAGACTGATGGCAGGAGTTGTTCTGAACTGGAATGGATTCCCTCAGGTTCTCGTGGGTTCTCCTTCATTGCAGGTGTTTTTATAGAGATTGGATACTTTCATCCTGGATTTCCTGCAAGAGATATGGGGACTAAATGTCTTTTGGCATCCATTTTATTGCTCCATTCTACCATTCTGTGAAAAGAGAATGCCATCTTCAAACAGTCTTTTTCCTTTCATAACAGCTCTCAACATTATGTTGTTTGCCCTATTGTTTTCCTAAAATCGGCCTCTCCTTCACTCTGGATCTATAGAGAGACAGGACTGAAGTCCGTGCTGGATCAGACCAAAGCATTTGAATCCCACAGTGGCCCTCTACCCTCATGCTCCTGAGCAACTAATATTGAGATAGATGTTGCCTCCAATGATAGAAATTAGAAGCCACTGGTCGCCTTAAGGTCTACACATGTGTCTAACCTAATTTTAAACCTCTTAGTTTGTAGCTACATTTCCTGATAACATAATGATGATTTCAGTTGTGTGCAGAAGCCCTTCCTTTTGTGTTTCCTAAACCTGCCACATTAGGTGTCATCAGGTGATGGTTTTGGGCCAAATATCATGATAGTCATTGCCACAAAAATAGATGGAATAATTTTCCAAAGGTTTCAGTGCTAGCAAAGAGCACCATGACCTCCATATCTGTGAGACTGGTACCCATCTTTTCATTTATTGATGTCCAACAAATTATGTCCTTTCTGGGTTGCTTTAGACTTTTTGGGCTGTATGGCCATGTTCTAGAAGCATTCTCTCCTGACGTTTCACCTGCATCTATGGCAGGCATCCTCAGACCTCACAACCTTTGAGGATGTCTGCCACAGATGCAGGCAAAACATCAGGAGAGGATGCTTCTAGAACATGGCCATACAGCCCAAAAAGCCTACAGCAACCCAGTGATTCTGGCCATGAAAGCCTTCAACAATACATATGTCCTTTCTATGCATGTTTAGGTCCTCTGAGTAATTTCATGTTATGCCTATTTGTTCCATGAATTTTACTATATGCACTTTAATAGTATTATAGTTAATCTGTGTGTGGTTGTTATTGTTGTTGTTGTTGTTGTTGTTGATAGGCATTTCTGACCATAGGCATTCCTTTGGTCCTCCAGCACGACTATTATTATTATTATTGTATTATTAAACTTTATTTGTACCCCGCTAGCATCTCCCGAAGGACTCGATGCAGCTTACAAAGGCCAAGGCCTCAAAACACAACATAACAATACACCTAAAGCAAATTAAAAACAGTTAAAGCAATATTAAAACAACAAAACAACAAGCAATACACAATACACCAAAACGCAGTAAAACTGGGCTGGGCCAGAATAAAGGGTACAGGATTAAAAGTGCTGATGTGACAGGTAATATGTAAGGCTTATAGGACAAGTGCAGTGTGCAGTGTGCGGCAATCATAATTCTAATAAAGTGCTTATGGGACTTGGTATTGGAGATTTCCTATTCAGGGAAGGCACATCAGAACAGCCAGGTCTTCAAGTTCTTTCTGAAGAGTGCCAATGTAGGGGCCTGACTAAGATCTTTGGGGAGGGTGTTCCAGAGTCGGGGGGCCACCACGGAAAAGGCCCTGTCCCGTGTCCCCACCAAACACGCTTGCGACGCAGGTGGGATCATGAGCAGGGCCTCTCCAGATGAACGAAGTGAGCGCGTGAGTTCGTAGACGGAGATGCGGTCACGCAGGTAGGCTGGTGAACTTTTGTCAGAAGTCACTCATTCAGTTGGACTCTTTGTTATCCATGGTTTTAGTTATCCATTTAAATTTCAGGAATATATACCCCACAGATATGGGAGTCATCTTGTATATAAACTGAAACTTGGAGTAAATCACTGTTTGCTGCTTATAATCATGATATCTATTAGTGTTGTATCTCTGAGCAGGTTCTTCTTGTATTTTTCCATACACTGATTTATTTATACAGTGCAGCTTAGAAACAAAATCCGAAGTTGTTAGTGAAATTCAGTCCTGAACATATTAAGGCTCGTGTCACTGACTAAAATCAGATGTTACTGTTTCAATTGCTAAGTGTTTATCTTAACTGCTGCATGAAAAATTGCCATGGCTTGTTTTAATAGAACTGAGGTTTACATACTCTGACAGGCTTAAAGAGGGAGGTTCAGCAGGGAAAGTTCAAGGGCCTTTGGAACTGAAACACTACTTGTAAAAAGTCAAGGATAATGGATCTAAGGAATTGGAGTCTACAGGGTCCTCTTTAAAAAAACAGCTAGAATTAACCTATGTTGTCCATAAATAAAATCAAAATAAACCCAGAGGTGATTAATGTCATCTTCGGAATCTAATGCTACAGTCAAACATGGTATTAGATGAAAGTGAACATTGGAATGGCTCAGACAATGATTTATGGACAATGAGACTAACAATGAAGGCACTGGTTTTATATGTTTTATTGAATGTATTTTAATTCTGTTAATTGTATATTGTTAGGCATCAAATTGCTGCCTGGTTGTAAGCCGGCTTGAGTCACCTTCAGGTTTGAGAAAGGTGGGATAGAAATTTGGTAAATAAATAAATAATTTATTGTCAAAGGGTTTCATGGCTGGAATCAATGTGTTGTTGTGAGTTTTCCAGACCGTATGGCCATGTTCCAGAAGCATTCTCTCCTGACGTTTCGTATGGCAGGCATCCTCAGAACTTGTGAGGTCTGTCAGAAACTAGGAAAATTGGGTTTTATATATTAGCTGACCCTGATTGTTTCTTGTCTGGAATTCCCTTGTTTTTGTGGGTTGTTCTTTATAGAGTTTTTTAATACAGAATTTGTTCATTTTCTTGTTTTTTTTTCCTTTCTGTTGAAATTGTCCATATGCTTGTGGATTTCAATGGCTTCTCTGTGAAATCTGACATGGTAGTTGTTAGTGTCAGCTTATCAGGGCCAGCTAATCACCTCCCAACAAAGGATTCCCCCAGTCAGTCAGAAGCCAGACCTTGAAACTGCTAGGCCCTTAAATGCTAATCAAGGTGTCCAATTGCAACATTCACACCTACCTCAAATAGACAGGTGTTCTTTCTCTCACCCTGCATATTCTACAGATATATAAACCCAATTTTCCTAGTTTCCAACAGACCTCACAAACTCTGAGGATGCCTGCCATAGATACGGGTGAAATGTCAGGAGGGAATGCTTCTGAAACATAGCCATATGGCCTGAGAAACTCATAACAACCCAGAGGTGATTACTTTTTAGGATCACACATCACAAAAAATGTTTACACATACAAATTCTCCGCAACAATTTCCAAAGAGGTAGTTGTATCAAGTTGTACAAAAGTTGTATCTTTTGTATCAAGCCAGCAAAGAGACTAAAGGCACAATAAAGACAACCAGATACATTGTAGCATGTTATTTTATTACTTGTTGCCTGCATCAACAGCTACAAGAAACATGATTCAGAATTTCAAATGGATCTGTGATACACATGAATGAATGTACACCATGAATTAGGAGGAAAATTAACTGTAGAGAATACAGGCAGAGACATTCCGTTTAAATTTGGTCATT